TATAGTCTGAATAATTTTTGATGGGGGTACAAACTTTTGTGTCTCCCCCACTCTTTGTGAAACAGCTGGGGGATTCTATTATAGTCTTTTGGTCCTGCATTGCTGCCACGGCTCAACAGTCTAAATCCACATCCCTTAATACAAGAGAAAAAAATGCCCCCCTAATGACATCATTGTTTGGGCTGACTGTCGGTCTCTCTCTCTCAAGCTTTTGGTTTGAATGGTTTCTTTGGACCATGCAAGAACATAAAACACGGCCCCCTTTTCCCCAAAATCCTTAGTTTCAGTTACAATTATATGGTAATCTATTTTAATATTATACAATATAAATTAATATACTTTGCCAAACAGTTTTATATAGTATCAAAGGAAAAGTTCACCCAAACATGTCCTCATGTCATCCAAACCTATGTGACTTTCATTCTTCTGCAAAGAACAAATTAATATATTTTGAAGATTTTTTTGTCCTTACAATGAAAGTTAATTGGGTCCGAAACCAACTTTCTTCTGTGAAACATACAAGATGATATTTTTTGTAAAAAAATGTCTGCGTTTTTGTCTTTACAAAGTCAAGGGATTCAAATGTTGGCTTTGGACACTACTGACTCATTGTATGGACATAAAAGTTGAAAAATTCTTCAAAATATCTTCATTTGTGCTCTGCAAAAACAAAAACAAAAGTCAGTCATATAGAATACAACATGTGGGTGAGTAAAAGATTGCTTTGACATTTTCAATACTTGCACTGATGACAAGGGTTGAAAACAACCACCCACCAGTATCATGGTTACTCTGCTTTACTAAAGGGACCAATACAGTTTGGAACAGGTCACACTTACACTAAGCTAACACATGCAATTTGTTCAACTAACCTTGTTGGTTGCTGTAGCACTGGAGCCTTCAACCACCGGTACATTTGTGACTTGAACCGAAAGGTATCGGTTGTGGATGAGTGGCCAGGCCCCTTCAACCCTACATGTTTGGAACTCATCCCGAAAAGTTCGCAAGTGAGGATCACCGAATAATCCACAATGTCCATACTTTTTCTGTTGGGCCGCCGGGCCCAAGGCGAGCACCCTGCTTTCATAGTTGCAGACGTCCACCACTGGCGGCTTGGAAGTGCTGGGTGCTTTGGCTGACGACGTTGGGCCATCACTGGAGCAGTTGTGCTGTGCAAAGAGCTCTTTAATTCGGAATACAGCGGAGTGGTACACCAAGTCCCCTCTACATCCATGAGCTGTGCGGCGCGTACACAACGAGTAGGCCCTCAGAGCGATGCAGTAGTCCACATCTGGAAGCACCTCTTCTTGCAAGCCACCGGAGGGTGAGAATGAGGCCACGTACTCCGCATTACAGCGCTGAATTCGACATTTTTGGCAGCACACTGTTGAGAATCAAGAAGAATTAGGCATTAATGAGATGCATTTAAAACTGTGAGAGAATCACTATGTGATGGTTGGTTGGTGATGGAGATGTTCATAATTAAAGTTCTTAGCCTTAGATGGTTTTTAGCTACTAAACCTGTTTAACAGCTACCCGACTGCTGTATTTTGTCATTCTGACACATTCATTGGTTGCACTCGAGTCAGCATGGCATCTGAAAAGCTGCTGATTGCTATTCCAAACCATGAAAACATTCCTTGTCTGGATTCTTTTTAGTTAAGTTGTTTTATGGATATGGTCTAACAAAAGTGTGAAAATAGTAACTGCTTCATTGGATATG